AAGCGCATATGCGAGCTTTCTAACATGTAATTTAAGCTCTTTTTTTTGAAAGCTTTCTGCTCTCTGATTTAGTTATACGCAACGCTGCAATTTAACAGCCCTGTAATTTCAGTTTAGCATACACGTGCTCTTTATGTAAAATAAACCTTGAAAGATTCGCATGAAAGTAAACTTTTCCCGTCAGTTGAGCTTTTAAATTCATTACCATGCTATTTTTAGCATTACTGATTGCCTAAAGCGCAGAAATTAGTTGTCTTTGTCCTTTATTTTGATGTGTCATGAAATTTTACTTCCAGAATGAAACAAATTTGCTGCGTTTATTATTATTATTATTATTTTATTTCATACATTTTTGTTTTAGTATCTTTTAACAACTCTTTTTGCCACTTACAGCAATTTTGCTTAGAGTTCACAAATAATTCTTTTATCAGTGTACTTTACAACTACAAAATAAATACCTTAGCGTAAATTCTAGTACATTTCCAAACACCAATTAATATTTGCTTCAAACTTTTCATCGCTTGATTTGCTAAAAATTTAAATTTTCTATATTGAGTGCATAAGTACCTTTGGTAGCAGCGTAGTCCTGCTAAATTCAGCGCTGCCTAAAGGTAAGCCACGCACTTCCTTTACAATATATTTTACTGTAGCATACCTTTTGGCGCGCCTTTTTTGTTTTATAATTTCTATTTAAATTTCATAGTTTCCATTATTTGTGCCACACAGTTACTTATATATTGTTTTTGTATTATAAATTCTTTTATAGCTTCGAGCACTTTTTTCAGTATATTTTAAAATTTCTACTCAATACATATTAACTAACTTTACAATAATGTCAGCAGAAGTCCAGCTTCCTGTAGTCAACAGTTAATAACATTTATATATTTACTTTCTAAGCCTTTTTTTTAACTAATAGGAGTTGTTTAGGCGCACATCAATTCAACACACACAAACTTATGTTATAATTAATGCAAATTTTTCATCATTACTTTATTTATAGTGAATTTGTTAAATATTTTTTCTCTTTTTGACTTTTTACTATATATTACTATATTTACTATATTTTGTATAATAAATTCAGAAATTTTCACCATAAAGTATCTGTTACCAATACTTTTATGGCAATTTTTTTATTTTTCATGAAGAGTTCAAAACTCTCTTTGTGGTTGTCACGCGTACCTTATCCCCGTTAGGATTAAATAAGTTGTCATGGACAACATCCAACAATAGGCTCAGTAAACGAGCGGCTTAGACGGGATCGGAGCAAAGGGAAAAGGGGGTCAAATGAGTAGGCTTAGCAGGGCATACAAAGAGGTGGCTAGTGTCATGTGGGAGCTCATTATATGCTGGACATACATATGTTTGATATATCAGCGTCTATTCTGGATAAATAGATGTTTGACCTGCTACAGTATTCATAATGAAGCTACGCGAGGGTCGCTCTCGTTTCTCGCGGCAACCGGAGCTCATCGTCTGCAATGGGCGTTGACTAGACTCCAAGTATGCCATTCAATGAGAAGGTGTTAATGGCTCCACAGTGAATGGCGGTCAGTGCATGTCGGAAGTTAGTTGCGTCCGAAGTCTGGTCGGCATATTTTTTATGTCGTCGACATAGCTGAGGAAGGTTCTTCTGACGCGCCTAGCAGGCGGTTTCGCTCCATGTAGGTGACTGCAGGGATGAATTTTCTGAAAGCACCCCAGCAGCAACTGCATTGAGAGGTCTTCATTATGCTCCTTAATTGGAAGCATGCGGGTCTCACTGTGCAGGTGTTCTATGGGAGATTTTAGGGGGCATGAAGTGTTCAGACAGTTTGCAGCTTCCTCGTCTGCGTTTCACTGCATCCAGGCGACCATATTGGTACGGCGTAGCTAAGGACCTGCTAGCCGATTTCCTTGTATGTTGCCAACAATGTTCCTTGGTCTTTCCTAATGCGCTGCCAACTTGAGGATTTTGTTGAGGCTCTACTTTGGCGATATTCGCGTTTGTATGAGGAGTGGAGGAGCACAGGCTGTCGAAAGTCACATCTACAATCTTAACGCCAGCGACTGCAATATAAAGATCAAGTGTGTACTCCTCCATCCAGTTTAAGAATATGGTCGTTGTGCATTTAGTGGGGGAGAGTGTTAAGTGCCGTGCAGCGAGGAAGGTCAGAGAGATAGCCGTTTATGTGTGAGCACATGGCATCGATTCCGTTTAATTTCTACAACAGCCGGTTCTACTTTACCGGAATTGAACCTGATTTTATCCGTCCAAATGCTGTTATTTCGAAGATCTAACACCGTTTAAGTGGGGAAGTTTTAGTTCAAAACTCTCTTCCCTCTTGCTTCTAAAATTTATTAATAATTTAATAAAAAAAAATCCTTTGGCTCAAAAAACTCCCTAGGCCTGAGAATCCGAATTTTATCAAGTTATCGGAGTTATTCCCTATACTCAATAAACGAAGCTTTGATGTCTCAATAAGAGTCACGGAAACAATACGAAATTGTTCGTATTTGCGAACTTTAATATCTAAAAGGCTGACATGTATAAAATTAGGACCAGTTTGTTCAAGAACAACAATAGGTTTAGCTAGTTTTCAAACCCAAAAACTATTATAGAACAGAAAAAAACGCTCCATCAACACCTTTAGAAACGCATTTCAGCCTTTAGTATCAATACTATTGACACTTAACTTCATATATTAAGTTGGATAACAAAATTTCCGCTTTATAATATTTAACTCAATAGTTAGCATATTTTGGAGATTTATGGTTAACTTTTTTGTGTTGTAATTTTCATGCCACATTTTCGCCTTGAGCATATTTTCAGTTATTAGGCATCATGCGTTTATGTAAATCTGTTTCCTGTAGGATTTGCTGTAAAATATATTAACCGATATGTACGTGAGTTTGCTAGTCCTTGTAACACTGAAACCGTACTTGATAACAATATTTATATATATGTATATCTATGTTCGCAGCTGGAAGATATGGCCTCACATACCTAGAACCGTATTTACCACTATTTATTTTTTTATTTGCAATTATTATTCTATGTATGACTTCACTCATATACTTCATTCATATACGTACATACATAAAATTTGGGAACCACTATTTACACAAAGCGGTTTTCTTAATATTAAATTACATATATATATCTTATTGTATTTTTTAGCAAAAATAACCGAAATTGGTTCCATACATTTAGTTTCTGCTCCTAAGTCTTACACTAGTTTAACTGTATAGTTTGTATGTTTTGTTTTAAGCATAGTCATAATTTAGTTTTCTGCTTGCTTCAATGAAGTTTGCAAAGTTGTCAGTTCGCCAAATTTATTTTACTTCATTTTATTTTCATCTGTATCCTTCATACCATTTAAAATTTATTTTCGCTTTACATTTAGAAACCTCTTTCTATTTTAAGACTCATTCATTTATCTCTAGTTCTTATAAAAAACGGTGTTCAATACAATTTTGTGTGTCACATTTCACTGACTTATCATTCATGTTTGTATATTTAGGTAAATATTTCCTATTTAGGAACAAGTGTCTACTCTTGTTGCGACCACTTTTAATCTCTTCGGAGTTTGGGTTTTATGTTTCCACTTGTTCAAAACTGACCACCCTTTTTGGTAAACAATAACATCTTTAATAGATAATAGATTATTTTATATTCGGTCAATATTGTTTCAGGCGAAGTAATCAATTGTTTATAGTTACAGTAAGTTGGAGGATAGAGCATCTTCTTGCTGAGTGGCCAAACAATCTCTTATTGTATCTTTTTCTATAGAAAAAGTAATACGGGTAGCATTATAACATTTCCATAGTTGTTATCATTTTTATAGTTTATTGTAATCTTTTAAGTTACTTATGCTTATTTAAAGGCCATATCTATTTATAATCGACTTTTTTTAAGGTTAGAACTCTCAAACAAGCTTCGTTCAATGCCGACTCTGCTAAAAGTTCAAAACGATGAACTATTACTTCTTGAATCTTTCTTTAACTTCTGAATGAATTACTTCTTAATTATTATTGAATTTCGTTTCACTTTTATTTTTAACTTGAAAGGTCAAATAACATATTGAAACCATGTCCACTCTTTAGAAATGAGTTTGTGTTTTTAAATAAACAAACTTTTTCTCGTTCACATTTAAAAATTGTTTTCAAAATTTCTTTGTTGCAGTGAGCATCAATGTGGTAATATGTTTCAAAGAAAAGTCGAAATTCCATTATCTTCATGAAATGAGTTTGGTCTCAAATACCGCAAAACTTTTTAGTTTGATTTGATAAGTCTTCAGATCATTTAGTTGGTAGGCAATATCCTAACTAACGTTCAATATGAAATCGTAATTTGTGGTTAGCTTTACATTGATTTCTACGATTTGTTGTTGTAGCTACTAAAAAAATTCCGGTACGTTCCGGTTACGTAGATCCGACTGTCTGGACGTATGCAGTACTATCTAAAACTATTATCATACTGCGAAGGAATATTTACTTTTAACTGAAGAGTGCGAGCAACATAATTCCAGATGTACTATATAAACGTATTCAACTTCGTGAGAAATCTCAGAAATTCATCTTCTTTTTTATGGTTTTATAGTCTTGAATTTTAGTTGTGAGATCGTGTTTTCCTTTATGTTTCAGGAACTACAAGTTTAAGTCTTTTGGATTTTCATTTCCGAAATAATTATTAAGGGTACTGCCTGGAAAACTTTCCTTTCTTGCCCTTGTTGGATGTTTTTCCACGCGTTTGGACTCAATAAATTGCATGTTCTTCGGTAATTTTTTTACTAAATTCGTAATATTGTATAATCAGTTTCATATGGAATACTTAAACAGCTAATTTGTTTTTAGAATCCTTATTTGAGTTTACTTGTAGCTTAAGGTTATAATTGTAAGTATTTTCTCTAGGAAATCATGCCTGATAATCAAAAAAAAAAAAAAAAAAAAAAAGAAAATGTATTCGCACCCACAATTGTTATTGTTTACTTGTTCATACTACTTTTTATTAAAATATATACGCCTCTTGGTTTCCCTTCATATCCAGAGAAAAATACTTACTTTTTATAGCGACTATGCCTCTGCTAAGTACTTCACTTTGTATGGCGTTTCTTGTGAAACATGCCGCGCAGAAATGAGAATCACACATGGGACGCATGAGGGTGATGCTCATCATCGACGTTAGGCGTCTCTTCCACTGCGCTTGAATCTGGCTCCACTTTTTCTTCATCTTCTGCTTCATCATTTCCTGCTACATCTTGTGACTGCTTTATATCTTCCTCTGGTTCCGCAGACTCTACAATTTCCTGCTCTTTTTTGTCTGATTCCTCTTGCATGCCCTCCACCGTTTCTTTTTCAATGCTCTCCGCTGCATGTGAGTGTATTTGCACTATGTGCACCTGCTCCAGCTCTTCTCCGTCATGCGGCAAACTCTCCTCGGTGCTTAGCGTTGCTTTTGTCGCTTCTGTCTCTGTTTGCTCTTCGATTTCCTCGTCCAAATCTTTTGCTAATGTTTCGCTGCGAACAAGCTTGCGCTTGCTGGTGGCAGTTAGCGCAGTAGTTGGCCCAGCTGCCTCCGGTATTGGCAAACGTATCTCATCGTCTACCGATTCGATGCGATCAAGTTGCTTCGGATGCGCACTGAGACGTCCATTGCCGTCTTTGCGTGGCGTAGTTCCCGTTATGCTGGACGTCGATGTGCCGGCAACGCTTTTTGTTTTGTTGCCGTTACGTTTGCCAGCCGGCACATCGTCTAGCGCAAGTCGTTCCACTCTGTGTTCCACACGAGGCTCTTCGACATGTACTAGCACGAATGGTAACTTCAGCGACAGTTCGCCGCCCATGCCGCTCAGGGTCAATTTGACCTTCACATAGTAGGATACATAAATGGCGAAGACATTGCGATCGTCGCCCACAACGCCGGACACACCGTGTCCATGATAACCGCTCGGTTGCGGTATGCCCACAGCCGGACTGTGGCAAGGGTTAATGGCCTGTCCAGGCGCAAGTATAAGATTTGGTGAGCGTATCGCTGAGGCAGCAATGACGCCGGTGATCTCTTCGGGCTCTGTGCTGCGCTGCAGTGTGTCTTCGAGCGCTATCCAGTTTTTCGTTTGACCACGTTGTGGCTTTAGTATAATTGTGGTGTTCAACGTGCTGCCGGGCGCTACTGTACGGTCCACGGGCGAGGTGTCCGAGTCGGCGACAATATTTTTGAATTTCCCATTGTTGAACATACAGACGTCGACATGTTGAATAGCGCACACCTTGAAAGAGAAGTGAACAAAAGCTCGTGGTTGATTAAAATGTTTGCGACTCTTAGTTTTATGCTAAAAGAAAATTATCGAAGTAAAGGACTCAATTATTTCAAAAAATATCATGTACTTACACTTGTACTTATTCGTAAGTTCTTAAAGAAGCGTCTTTGCGTAGATAGTGGCATACGCGGATGACATTGCTATCTTAATAACGGATAGGTTTCTACTGAATATTAGCAGTATTATGACCATCACTCTCAATACAGAACAGTAGTGGGCATCGCAAGCGGGCCTGAGGTTGAACTAGGAGAAAATGGATCTGCTTGTGTGCACAAGAAAGTACAGAATTCCACTACGGAGGTTCCCTTCGATTAACGGGACACAACTCAACCAATACCTTGAGGTAGTCTTAGACAGCTAACTGCTGTGGAAGCACAACGAGGAAGAGATAGTGAGAGAAGTCAGCAATGCGTTATATGTGCAGGCAGATGCTCGACACAACCTGGCGCCTTTTCTATGTACTGGTGCCTCCCAGCTATTGTAAGACCCATTCTGTTCTATGGTGGAGTAGTATGGTTGACAGGCGTTCAGAAGCATTATACGGTTATCTTGAAAGTGAACATGGAGTTGGTGCGGGAATATACTGTCTAGAGTTAGACATAAAGCACCTTTTAAATCTGAGATTGAACCCGTTATATTAGATTATGAGAAAGTATTACTTTATGTTGAAGAATATGAGTTCTGAGAGATTCCTAGATCATTTGGAAGCGAAAATCTATAGTTTGTTAAATCTTAACTTCGTCACGAGACTTGTATACCCCTGAGAACATTTCTTCAGAGAATTAAAAAAAAAAAAAAATATTTCCGTTATCGTTGTCGTCTTAAAACCAAACATGAAAGGCTATTTAGCATTACCGTTGCCGTTATCGACTGGCTAAATGAGTTAAGCTTCCCGCCCTGATGCACCCTATGCATTAATCGAAAATAAGTTTGTATGCTTAATAATTCTCTAATCTTGATGTTCTAATAGTTTAGGTTTTATTTCTTAAGTAAGCAACATTTATAAATAAAATAAACTGCCTGTGGTAAATCAACAAAATTTCCGTAATCAAAATGCAGCAAGCGTTTTCACAACAAACATAACCTCAAAATGCCTACTTAACCTCAAAGTCAACAGTCGATGTCACAACTATATCTAAACCACGGAGATGAGACAACAATATGCTGACTACAAACATAACCTTAAAATTGGTCAACAGAAATAACGGAAAAGCCGCAAATGCATGCATGAGTCAGACAATAATTATAAAGCATCTAAAAAAATATCTAACCATATGTACAGAGATTACAATTTTTTTTATAAATAAACAGAAAAACCAGGTTACGAAGTGAATACCGCTAAAAAATGTCAGGCAACATAAAAAATTCAATCAAATAATGCAGTAACATGCCGTCATGTGTGACTAAAAAAGCAGCCACATAAAAGTCGTGGCCACAGAAACGACAACTCATTGCATATGCTCAAATCCACACTGTCGAACAATCTCCAATAGACTGTACAACCTCTGTTAGCTTTAGCTACAGATATAGATAAAACACACATATTGGCGTTATAAAAGAGAAAAGAGTTTGCAAATCAACAAACATCAACGACAAGCTCAATTTCGGTCTGTCCGCTTAGTTTTGCGGAATTCCGAACGATTCAATAAATATTCGATTGCACAAATACTCGCGTGGCAAGGCAAAAGATCCAGTAAGAAATTTGATGATGCGGAAATTTATAGGGCCATTGAGTAGGTTAGGTGGGGTCTGCGGAATACATGCGGAGCTATGGGTTCAAAAAGTGCTGAAGTCTAAAATTAATTAACAACAATAATTTCCCAGTACTATTCTGAACATACTTTAGACAATTTATTCTAAATGGTCTCTACAGCTTAAGCACCTTTTAAAAAGCTTTCTTCAAGTTTCTGCCGCCTCGAATGTGAGGATATGTACTATAAATGAACCCGAAATAGAGCTCAAACGGATACCAATATATTTTCGTTTTTTTATTGTTGAAAGATGTGAAAGCTCCAAAAAATTTCGTAGACTAAAAGAGAACTTGATTTGAGAATCTCGTATCGCATATCGGTCAGAAGTGTCTTGATAAAAAGGGCAGTAATAGAAAGTGTTGCCAGAAGCAAGCAAATTCCCTTCTCTTGGGTGTCAGGCCACAAAGGCATCGAGGGCAATGAAATAGTGGACGAGATTGTGAAGGTTTGTTAACACCCGAAACGTGATTGGGAAACCCATGCATTGTCTATACGACGATCTGTACAGCAGCATGGTAAAGAAAATCAAAACCTGATGGAACCAGCTACCTGGGTTGAAAACAGCAAAAGTCATGTTGAAAACGGTAGATAAAAAATTTATAAATATCCATTTGATAGAAGAGACTGTACGAACATGCTCGTGATACTAACTGCTTACTGTCTGTTGGCGACACACATCTGTACAATGGCGCTGATAGATAAAGAATACTGCAGGAAATGTCTAAAACAAGGCACTAGAGAAACAATAGGGCATCTTTTGTGCACTGGTCCCGCATTGGCAGGACTAAGCTCTAAGCATATGGTGTTCCCAAGGTATGATACACTGAAGGCTGCATCGAGAGTGAGGCCTCTAGGTCTGTTAGGTATCCTAATGGACCTAGCAACTGAACTGCATCTAGTATGGCGAAGGACCAAAACTGGTGTATTTGTGGCTTATTGGCCTAACGGATTAACTTAAACAAACCTATTCTTCTTTAAGCATTATGTTCTTATGTACATAAAAATTATAATTCCATATTCTTTGGATTATGTGCGTAGCTTTAAGGGTTGCGACTTTCGCTTTGAAAGAAGTTATTAGTTTGCAACATACCTGCAACTTATTTTAGTATAAGGTCGGCTTAGAGAAAGCTCTACCGACTTTATATATACCGATAAGCTACCCTTATAAACAAGCTAGAGATTCTGTCTATATCGTTACTGATATCTTTAGGGTAAGCACATAGTAAGTGACAGATAATAATACGTAGAAATTAATGTATAATCTTCCAGGTGTCTCTGAGAAATGTTACAACTATCAACTATCGTTATTGTTTCCCACTCTGCTATGTGCACAGCTTATAATAGTTTTGACCTGAAATAACCTGCTGTAAGTTACTGGAACTGCTATGCCGCTTGTGACATTTTTTTGCTGGTTAAATATTCTCCACAGGGAATAGACGAAAGGCCATACATATCAATATCTCGCAATATAACTATATACCACACTATTTCTATATTATACATATACGCATACATAGACTACATACATTTGTATAAATACATACACACGTGTTTATTTATTGCTTTCGCCGTGTTGCTACATTTATTGCATACACGATTTGGCTTCCTAAATTGCTTTTCGCCCTTGCCGACCTATGCATAGCTTATGAGCAAAAGCATGAAAAAAATAACAAAAAATAAATGTGAAAATAGGAAAATAGTAGTAAAATATGGCAATAACATTCATTTGATTTGTATTTTGGCTTGAGTGCCACTTGTCCTGTGTTATATTTGTTGCTCAAAGCAAAAATACATGAAAATTTACTCAAGCGCTTTTGCCAATCAAAAGATTATAGTGCCGCTGGCTTATACATAAATACTCCTGTATTAACAAATGAATTCGTTGGTGAGTAATTTTTTATGGGAAAATGACCGATAGCAATGCCAGTGATTTCAACCCTGATGCGCTAAGAAAGCTCGAAAGCTTTAAAGTTTGCTTAGATTTCGAAGCTCTGGAGTTTTGAGCGTGAAGGCAGAGTCTATCTGGCAGCTTTCAGTATTCCGACTTCAGAAAGCTATAATTAGAATATCTAGGTCTCGCAAAGCTTCAGTTAGAGTACCCAGTAGTATTAATCTTAAAAAGTCTCTAAAGCTTTCTTGATGAAACAGTAGTTGCTTTATCATAGCTGAGACTATATCTTTCTTTTTCTTCAATGTCCATACGAAAGCGAGCTGTGTGTCTTAGAGTATAAAAACGCAAGAAAGCTTAAAGCTTCATATAAATACTTTTTTAACCAAAAGAAAGTAATCATTTAAGAATATGCACCACATTTTTATTTTACCTGTTTGAAATCGATGTAGTCGATTGAGTTTGGAGCTTAAAAGCTCGGCTAAGCAAACTTAAGCAATCAATAGAAGAATGAAGGAAGTATGTGAATAGTACGTGATCTACAATGAACTTAAAAAGCTCAGCGTACTCAAGCGAAACAGCGACAAGCGAAAGAAAAACAAAATGTGAAATAGTGTGCTTCACAGCTCGATAAGTGGTATAAACTCTATAATTGGGTGAGGTAATGAGTGCTTTTAGAAATTTATTTAGTCAATCTAACAACTTTTTTGAGAAAATGATTGCCTATTAGATTGACTGACGTAGTTTTTTGATTGACTTCAGTTTAACTGTGCATTCTTGGGCTCCGAAAGCCTTTGAATTATTATAATCATCCATCAAAAAGATTACGAAATGCGGAAACTAGTTAAATAGTATTCAATAATATTATTTCTATGCCAAAAATATTATTACTTTTTTATTCCAAAAATATTATTCTATTTCATATTTATTTTAAAGGGATCCACAAACGACGAAATCTTCAAGATATTTGAATGCATGTTGAGGTGTGATCGTCGGCAGTGCTTCATTTGAAATGTAGAAAATCGTTGAGTGCGTAAGTATGAACTAATGAACTTGAATCTGAAGCACGTGGTGGTTACGAGGGAATATTAGCCCCGGTGGTATCACAATGCTCCTTCTGAAGGCCTAGATGCATCATCAGGTAGCCATTCTACCTATGTAACTACCTACTACCTAAGTATGATTAAAGGTTCACTTTATTATAAGTTTTCAAGCTTTTTAAGGAGCCTCTCAGCATTCTTTTCTATCTGAAATCTGATAGAAGCTGACTTTAGCGTAAATGAAAGACCACGGCCATAATTACAAGTAGA